CCCCAAAACCCCAAAACCCCAAAACCCCAAAACCCCTAAATTCTAATGAAAATTGGGTGTTAAAAATGTCTGAATATGCCCAAGGATTTATTTGAGATATTTGGCCTGGCTACATGAGAGTTCCTCACTGTCTTAATGAATTTCGCTAGAGAGTTAGCCTTTGAAGTACCATTTTTGGTATAGATTTTAGGCGATAGCCTAAAATCTTGATTAATAGTGTGACTGTAGTCTTCATTCTCTCTATTACCATCACTCGGTGAGCAATTCCCACTATCAATAAGACCGAACCTTACAAGTATGATGAGAAACTTGAGCTATGTAAGTTTTGCTTCGGGGGATTTTTAATATTCTTGAAGAAATTTGCCTTCAAGTCTGCTAATTTGGCACTACTAGGATCACAATATTTGGGATATACTGTTTCAATAGTAGTCTAGAAAAGTAAAGCTATTAGTTACCTCTTTCTTAAGAAATCTCCCCTTTGGGTTAGGAGTCTTATTTTAGGAAATATGATCTTGAAGCTTTCACTGTGTCTCTTCTGCTCCTTCATCTCCTTGATTTTGATTTATTGCTCTGCTTACGATTCGATTTTAGATCTCTAAACTTAATCTGACTAATAGAGCCTTTTTTAAGAGTCAGAGGGTTCACTTTAAGCTTCTGGTTTGAGATCCGGATACTTTTAAAAGTGATATCTCTTCTATCACCAAACTTTTTAGCAGAATTTTCTTCATCAGCAAAAGCAGATTTCTTGGCATCCCTCTGGTGATCCCTCTGTTTGGACTCGAGGAACTTATTTATTTTCTAAAATCTCTTTGCACAGCTGCTGTCTCAATTCAGTTTCTGAGTATATTCTCAGCTTGTCAATCTTGGATAGCACAAGCTTCTTTGTGGGTTGACCTTGTCGTTTGTTAAGAGATTTGTGACACTCAACTTTTGGTTGACAATATTGGATCATTTTGTCCAAAATCTTCCTCTGATAAGCACTCTCATCTCCTTGACTGACACTACTGTGAGGAGATTCGTGCGAGTTTTTGGGGTTGAAACCCTCTGAAGCTCTAGAAAGACTCCCCGATTGCCCTTTTATATTAGGAAATAAGCTATTTCTGGCATCTTGGGGTGGTCTGAAAGCCTCCATTAAGTGGTTTTCTAGGGGTTATTAAAGAGATTACTGCTTTTTTCCTGCACCTCTTCAATACTCTTGGTTGAATTTTGAAATTTCTGAGCTTGAGGTATGATGATCTCAAGCCCACTGGTTTCATTATCCCTAGGTTTCTTTAAACTCTTAGTCAAAGGTATTTCTGTGCCAACATCTTTCATGCTTGATTTACTAGAACTTCTGCTTTGAGGGAAGATAGTTTTCCCAGTTGCAAAAGTATCAAACTTATTTTGTCACTTTCTCATATTCATAACTCTCTGATTATTTCAAACGGTGATCTACAACAAGAATAACTTCCTAAGACATAGACAAGGTCAGCGCTTAATGCTAAAATTCAAGATTTAGCTTGTAGTCACTAACCTTGGGAAAACAGTGACTTACAATCTTTCATGAAGCTTATCTGATAAGATTTCATACTAATCTTATTCTTCCTTCCCACTTCTCTCGCAGCGCTTGGGGAGTGGCTGATCGTATACTTCCCTTTCGGCTTGTGGTGGCTTGTAATCCCCTGACTCTTACGGAAATTACAGAACATGAAAGAGTTCAGATCAAGGTTGTAGGTATCCTCAACCTCGGCTTGGGCCTTGACATGTGCCATATTCTTAACAATAATCGGTAAATATTTACAAATACAATTCTAGGGTTCATTGATGGGGTTTTGGGGTTTTGGGGTTTTGGGGTTTTGGGG